ATTTGTTCTTGAAATTACCTCCAAAAATTTGGCATGATTCCGTAATGATCTTAGAGCGGTTGTCTTGAGAGCCAGTTCAACAAATCTTTTAGTGATTTGTACATCGTAACGAAGCACCTTTTGCAGCATTGGTGGTACTTGTCTCTTATCCTCTGTTACACCTAGCTTGAAATGCAACAATTAATTTTTAAAAAGTAAACCTCATGAAACATAGAAATATTGAGATTTTGACACTTTCAGATTGTTCAAATGGAACATTTATTCTTATATTTATAATTGTCATTTGACAGAGATAAGCATCACAGTTAGAACTTCTCATTTGTCTTGTCACACAATGGATTTTTTGACTAACATATGGGGGAAAATAGCATCACTGCTAGAAATACTATTATAAAAGCAGAACTCACAACTTGAAATAATTAAGAACACAAATCACAAACACAAAACTTATAAGTCTATTTATCTATGCATGATGTGGGAGCGAATTTGCATCGGTGAGATCATAGTTACTCATATCTAAAGTCAAGGCTATACATTCTTACAATTATTCTTACCATGTCCATAGCGTACTGTGCTCAATCTCACAATTGTGTAAACAAAGGTTTAGTGATTAGTGGCATAAAAAAAATGTATGATGAAAAACACTAGAAGCTTCTGCTAATCTAAAAACAAGCAAGACAATTGAAGAATGAGAAAACTTTCATAACAATTACCAAAAATTAACTTTTAACAATGTCTTAAAACAGTAAATGTAAGTTATTATGAAAATGACAAAATAGAAGTCAGAATTTTGACATAAAAAGATAAATGACTTTTGTTACCACAGACCTTATAAAATATTTGTATTTTTTTTACAGTTCGACAAGGACAATGATTGTTGAATTTTGTGGTCAAGTGTCCGATATTTCCGTTTCTAACAATGACTTAGAGTTGCCAGATAGCAATCCTTTCGTTTTTGTAAGAAAATAAGCAATTGAAGTTATGTAATGCAGTAAAAATATTTACTTTTAAAATGTTTCTAAATATTAATAATAATGTAATGTAGTTTCTAATTATTACCGATATGTTATGCAATATTTATTGTTGCTACATGTAAAACTTTATTAACGCATAAAATATCTGATTGGCGTACAAGATTTATTTTATTTGTTTAAAATTCGGACACCTGGACTGACAACCCCATATGACATCCTGACTCGGACGTTAATGACTGAGGCTTTTTGATTTCGTGATATTTTTGAAGAACATATTTATTTTTAACATAGTCACCATCGCCAGAGAGTGATAAAACGGACAGTTATTGAGGTCTTGCTTCGAAATTGCAGATTGATATAGGTAAATGCTAATATTAGGACCACTAGGACCAGTGTCGGATTAGCCATATACCTCGCTCCATCGCCTGAAAGTAATAAAAAAACATTTATTTAGATAGGAGTGTAAAGTATCACTTCTCTTCCACTTCAAAATGTAAAACTCGTTTCGTAATTTTAAACCGTAAAATGCGTAGGTATTTAACGTTAATGTTCTAATCTGTTTAATAGTAATTAATTCGAATGTTTAATTAAAATCAACAGTTTTGTTTTATTTAATACTCTAAACTTGAGAACCTAAAGCAAACCAAGGGACCCTAGACAGAATTTGACAGAGACTAGGACCATGGGTCTCTTAATAAAAATCTACCAAAAAACCCATGCCAAACTTTTAAAACTAGACTAAAAAGTATGTACTTGGTTTAAGTGACATTCCGTCTTCAAATTAAAACTGGCAATGTTTCAAATAATAATAAAAATAAAAACTCCTGTTTACGGTTTCATAACAATGGAATAATCGCATTCCTGTGACACTTTTATTCGAACTTTCATATTTATATTGCATAATAAGATTATCATACTTTTAAGGTTCTAAGTGTAGAATTTTCCATTGCAAAAATGGAATTCTTCGGAAATACAATGTGTGGTCCACAAAATTATATGAAGGATGTATTGAAAGAGGACTATCACGAACCTACGACGGAAACTGAAGTTAAGGAGTTGTTTAAAAAACTTGTAATATTTTATCTTTTTCTATACTTGAAATTTACATTTTTTGCAATTAAGAATCTTTCTAAAAATTCAAAGGATAGGGCTGCCTGCTAATTTTAAACAAAACTCCAAATGACTTTTAACTACCTCAGAAAAAAACTGTTATTTTATTTAGTTGTTATTCTTAAATGAATTTGTTGTTTTTTGTTACAGTCAAAGACATATAGCGACAAAGACAATCATCGAGGATTGAATGGTTTCGCATACGGTTCATTTGAACGATTTTTAGACATGAAAAGAAAAGGTTTGTTAAAACCTGTTGGTCCATGTGAAATGTACAGAATTCCTCCCACGTCTTGCCATGAGGTTCGTTTAGTCTATAATAATTAATTAATGACATTGATAGAACCTAGTAAATTTTTTAAAAACCTATTATTTTTAAGTTTGGATGGTGGCTACATGATACATCACTAATTGGCGAAAGTTGGTACCAGGTAGAACAACGATATCCACAGCCTGCTTCTCCATATTCATTAGCCCTTGATAAAGAACGTAAAGTTAATAAATATGCGACACTATTTTAAATAATTTAACGTATTATTTATAATTTTAGCTATAAAGAAAACAATGTATTTGCGAAAAGTAAATCTGTATTATACATTGTACACGTTTTAAATAAATAAGATTCATTGCAGGTAACGTTTATTATTTTTATCGTCCTCAGTACTTTGAAAGCAGTGCTTATTTATCGCGAGTTCAAATAATTTCAGTTTAAATCAGTATAGTTAAAAAAAAAAGTTAATCTTACTAATATTCGATATGCGAAAGTTACAGTCTTATTAACTTATTTATAAAATATCTAGCTTTTATAAGAGACTTGGTTTTCTCGGAAGCATTAGAGTACTTCAGTTGAACATTTCTCCGAGCTAATTTTCTTCCAAATCCATTGGAAACTTACTAACAACAACGTCCATCCATTTAACTTTACTTTTGGTAAGATTCGATTGTTTCGTATGTATGACAGTCCAAAAATTCGTCTATACATACTCTTTGGTCATAAATGTCACTAACTTATCTGTTGTTACTGTCAATTTGCTGTCAACTTAACATCCTTTTTCCTTTGCGTTCTTTCGAGTAGTGACGTTAAAGTGAGGGGAGGTTATTCCTTTCAAAATGTAAGTCTAACTCTAAAAAATCTTGATAATCTATTAACTTACAATAATATTTATTTTGTTTATGAACAACAAATAGTAAAACATTTCTGTAAATCTGTATATTTATGTAAAATACTTTTTAGTTTTGTTGCTAACCTCAAAATAATTTCAGGTCGAAAGTGTCGCGTGATACTCTTTACGAGTGCGTAAATGCCGTTCTCCAGTCCTCAAAAGACAAGAAGCGTAACTTCCTGGAGACAGTTGAATTGCAAATCGGTCTGAAGAACTATGACCCCCAGAAGGACAAGCGTTTCTCCGGCACTGTCAAGTATGTTTACCTGGAAAGAGCATTTTCGTGGACATGATCCATCTCTTAATCGTTTATCCATTATTTGTACTACCAAGTGCAACTTATCCACGTGTTAGTAATTGTCCACTAAAATGTATCTGGACAGGGAGTCAGCTTATCTGACGGGACTTAAACCCTGAGTCCTAAAATATTGGGTAGGTATGCTATTGGTTTACCGAAATAGATAAAGGTTCCGTGATGCTATTCAGGAATGTGGTTGAGGTATGAGCTGTAAATTGAGATTTTAGTAGTTTAGAATTATCGTACATGTAATTTTAAAGTAAATACTAGCACATACTTTTATTTTCTACTTATCTAAGTTTAAAACGTTTATCTTTAGAAGAGCACAAATCCTAAATGATGCATTTTGCATGTATTACCTGACCAATGATGTCAAAACACCACACTGATTATCATTTCAAAATTAAAAAGTGCTAGTATAATAGAGTATTGTGATTATTATGTATTATTTTTTAGGCTAAAGTACATTCCGAGACCAAAGATGCAAGTTTGTGTTCTTGGAGACCAACAGCACTGTGATGAGGCTAAGCAGTTGGAAGTGCCATGCATGGATGCTGAAGCCCTAAAGAAGCTTAACAAGAACAAAAAACTTGTCAAGAAATTGGCCAAGAAGTAAGTCTGTTCTTAACATGTTATCATATTTTTCATTCAAACAAACCAGTTTTAAAAAAATAAACACCAATAAAATCATTTTTGGCAATACTTTATCAACATTTGTAGGTTACTAAATGTTTCCTTCAAAACTTTTCTGAACTTAAAACTTGAAAGGCACTTTTTTAAAAAATGTTATAATATAAATAATGTATTTTCCAGGTTTGATGCTTTCCTTGCATCGGAATCACTCATCAAACAGATCCCGCGTCTGCTTGGTCCCGGTTTGAACAAGGCTGGCAAGTTCCCTGGTCTTCTCTCCCACCAAGAGTCCATGACTCAGAAGATTGATGAAGTGAAGGCTACCATCAAATTCCAGATGAAGAAGGTAAACAAACTTTTCTTTTAAACAAGTAATGAAATTTCATAAGTATTTAAGTAAAATAAGGAACTATGTTTATTTACAATTTGTAACAAACAGCTATTTTAGTGAGTACTAGCTGTTGCTCGCGACTTCGCTCGCGTAAAATTAAGAAAATAATACAAGCCTATGTTACTCACTGATAACATAGCTTTTTAATGTAATATTTTGCATGAATCAAATACATACAAAAATACAAATCTTCCTCATACTATTAGTATAGATTAAAACATTTATTGTAATTACAGGTACTCTGCCTTTCTGTGGCAGTGGGCCATGTGGATATGACTCCTGATGAGTTGGCACAAAATGTCCATTTGTCAATCAACTTCCTCGTTTCTCTATTGAAAAAGCACTGGCAGAATGTGAGGTCGCTACATATGAAATCTACCATGGGCCCACCTCAGAGGTTGTACTAATTGTACTTTACAATAAAAACTGACTTTAAAACCTAACTTGTGATTTTATTCCAATCTACCTGTAAATTTACCAAATTAGAAAGAAACAGATCGTGAAAGCTTAAGCTTAATCTTAAAGCAAGGATTAAGCCTTCAAACATTATTTTAATGTTCAAATACAAGCGCCTAGGGAGAAGTTAAATTTTGTTCCTAGATTGTAAGTTTTAACTTTACAGTTCAACTGTTTTTTCAAAACTGAAAGTATATTAGCAGGCTTTACATAATGAAAGACATATTTTTTTTAGATTTTTATTCCATAACATCTCTAAACTATGTCACTAACACTTTTAGAATCTGGTTCTAATATATCATCATCACTGTCGTCTATCTCTTCATCTTCTGGAAGCTGATCATCACAGTCTTCAACTGTGTCTTCACTTTCCTCACTTTGTTGTGTTTGAATTACTTCACCATGAATGTTTTTATTTTTTAGGAAACCCAACCAGAATGCTTTAGAACATTTATTAGCCACTAATACAGCTTTTACTTTGTAGATTAAAGTTTCAAGCAACTGCCTGATATATGGAACTTTACTCATTAGCACTGTATCTTTTTTCAACCTCGAGTGACAGCATAAAGATTGTAAAAACCTTGTTGATTGCTGGAGGAGTTTCAAAATTTCCAATATTTCTTCAGTGTTACTTTTAAATTCCACTTCTATTATAGGTAGACCTTGTGATATAAACATTTTAATAATTGGTATAGACTTTTTTAAGAATGCAGATAAATTATTTCTATTTTCAAGACTTTTTGATATATCAGACATACATTTCATTATGGTAGCCACATCTTTCCAAAGATTTAGATGTTCAGAATTACTCAAACCCTGGTTTAAATGAGTCTTTGTTACTTCACATAGTGCATTACCTAAATTTCTGTAGAGAACAGGAAAATTCCCTTTATTGATGGATTTAAATGTGCTGAGTGTGTCATTTTTACTTTTAAGATGTTGAATATCAGCTGCCAGTTCCATCGTTATTGTTTTAAGAGTCACAATTTCGTTATTAATTAAGAATGTGCTTGCTAGCCTATCTATACTTTGGTTGAACAGAAGCCCTTTCTCTATTGTACCATCAGGTGTTTTCCATTGTGTAGATAGAAAATTGGAGGCAACATTTCTTAAGATTTTAGACAATTGTGTATCATTACAATGCTCTTGTAAAACTTTTAGAAACTCCAGTAATGCAGCAGCTATTGAAATTTGTACACAATATTTCTCATGTTTTTGTAAATATTTGGCAATATTTAAGACACAATCTTTTAATGACACTGTATCTTTGGACTCAGCACTGGCTACTGTTCTTAAAGAAGTCTTGAGTAAAGTATTGTGCTGGTTTTTAAATCCAATCCATTTGAAATATATAGTTAGAATGTCATAAATAATCTCTAAGCAGCTTAGGTATTCAATAGTTTTCATACAATAATCAATTTCAGTCATTTGAAGAACATTTTTATCCAAGTAGCTTGTAATGGTATTCACATGGTTCATTAACTTTGGTAGCGTATTGTTCATTGAGTTTGCACACTCTTCTGCCTTCTTGACATCATATACTTTACTAGTTTCTTGTTTTGATAGAAAAGTGTGTCTTTTAATTTTTGATAGTAATGTTTCTTCCAAGTATTGTTTAATAGATTTCAATAAAAATTGTAAACTCTTTACCATTTCTCTACTCTCTTGAAGATCAATATTTAGTAAATTAATTAAATTTAAATTCATTTTCCTGAGAGGTAAAGTTTGCATAAGTTGAAGTTGATTTTTAACTGAAGCATGTTCCTGAGTAACTTGTGATCGTACAGTTTCAGGTAAAGTTGTGTCATTCAACTTCTGTTTTTTCTGTGAAGTTGTAGGTTTTTTTCCAGAGCAACTGACATTATGACTGAATAAAATATATTTTGGTGGCTTATAAGATATTTTGGATATTGCTAATATTTTAACAATCAAATCTTCTATTTCTTCAATATTAGCTATTCTCTTGAACATATGTACTCTAAGAGTTAAATCAGTTTGTGTTGCAAATGCATTGAGTAGCTCCCTTAACCAATTTACACAATAAAGTAAACAATCTATAATAGAAGAAATTGTATTAAATTCCATTTCTTTAACTTCATCAAGATTTACCTTTGGCATAACAATTGGACAACCTAGCAGTGCATCTATACTAGTGAGTTTTCCTTGATCTTGCTTAAAACGCAAAGTTTGGACAAGTTTGAACAATGGAGATAAAATGGCAACACTAACATTCCCTTTATTATTAAGTGCTAATCCAGCAATATTAATAGCTATTAATTGGTCGACATCACTCTCCACTAACAAAGAGTACTGCATTGATAACTTTATTTCACCTATTCTTTCTACCTCAATAGAATCAACAATAAAATTTTTTTCTAAATCATTGGTAACTGCATCAGTCAACCATGCCAAAAACTTTCTGTTAATATGATCTACAGAACTGATGATAGAACACAATTCATCATAGTAAAAAGCTATCATTTCAGGAAAATGTTGGGTGCTGCGATTCATTAGTTCAATAACTTGGACAGCTTCTCGAAGATCAACTTCTGATATATGAGAAAATGATGTATAACTGATATTATTGGTTAATTGTGATGTATCATCTTCATTATAACCACTTGTCATCAGATATTTCACAGCATGAACACCAGCAAGGATTCCTTGTGTTTTTATTGATGGGTTGGAGCTGCCTAGTTCTTTTCTTATAATCATGTGAATATCATCGCGAATAAGGGAGTTCTCACACTTGTATGCGAGGGCACAAATCAAATTCATCACTGATCGTATTTCTCCTAATGACATATCATCCATTCTGTCTAGCAATGTAAGCATTTGTAAGCACTGCGGCTTTAGCAATGATATATCTTTGGTGGCAACATTGTTCAATATTTCAAGTATATTTATAAGAATCGTCTTACAATACAAACCTAACTGAAGAAGCTCAGCAACAATAGTTTGACAATATTCATCAAAATGTGATAACATCAACATATAAATGTGAGAAGCAAATGACTGTACAATGGGATCTGCTTTAGATTTAAGAAAAGTATTTGTCAAACCAATCAAGTCTTTAAGATAATTTATTAAAATTGGTTTGTATTTCTCAAATACATCATCTAATAAATTCTCCTTCATAATGTTTAACTTGATTTGTTTCTTCAATAGAATTTCCAATTGCTTTTGTCTCTCTTCAGAAGTTGAATATAAAATAAGGACAATAATAAAATCAAATGGTTTGTGATCTGTACTTATTTTACAATTTGTGATAACCTTTAACCATGCATTAGATATCAGCTTACATGATACCATAGAATTCCTAATAGCATTTGCGGTAAGTACTTGACTTGAAGCAATCTCTTGAAGGGTTGCCAATGTTGTAGGCCAACTTATAGCGTTCCTTAATCCTTGTACAGCTTTTAAGTACCCACTTTCATTCATTCTACCACGCATAAGTAGAACTTTAACAAAACATGGGAAGTAACTGCATTTAGACAAACTGAGCAGAATGTTTAAAGTTTTCTCTTGAATTTGTTCATACTGCTCATCAGAGAGACAAAGATTTGAAACACAATCCAGAACAGCAGGTATCAGATCATGATCCTGCCTTAATATTCTACATAACTCAATTGCTACATTATTATGTTCTTGATCACCTAAAATATCAGGAATGGATGTTATTATCTCAAGGCGTACCATTTTTTCTGTAGAAATTTCTAGCAAATCAATAAGATGTGTAGCCATTGCTTCACTGTTAACTATGCAGTCTAAAGATGAGATACATTTTAAAATCATTTGTATCCAAGGCAGGCAATTTGATTCAACAGCCAAATCAGTGGCCTTTGTAAATACATAATCTATTAACTTGTGCTGCAGTATTGGCACACCAAGTAATATCTTCAATACACTGTCATTAATCAAATGTTCACTTAAACCATTATCTACAAGTTTTACAACATTCGGAAATAAGTAATGTTTAAAAGTCACGAGATCTTCACACTTTTTAGTCAAATCTCCAATGAACTCTGAAGCATTTCTGGGGTAATCAAAATGCTTTTGAAGATTCTTTTTAATGTTACGTATTAGATAAATTGTTTCGAGTTTCGCTATATTTTTTTCGGGTGGATCTTTTAAGATAAGTCCACTTTCCTCTAAGGTTTTCTGAAGATAAGTTACCTCAGGATTTCTTGATCTCTTTTGGCTAATTTCCGAGTTTTCGCTCAGCGAAGTTTGTCTTTTCCGGCTCATTTTTAGCAATTCACAAGGTGGTGGAAGCAACTAGATAACTGAAAAATTACAATAATCCGTGTCGTAAGTGACCGCAAGCTTTTTCTTATTTTTAAACATGTAAATATTGTTTATAACTACAAAAGTATCAGTTTTCAGTTTGTATTTTAAACTGAATTTGACATTCTTTTGACGTGCTTTGCTTGTTTACAGATTACCCACCATTTTACGAAAAGTAAGATAATAAAATAGATTAAAATAAGTAATTTATATTCACCTCACAGCAACTTCAAAAAAGGCAGCGGATCTTAATTCGTCTTTAATTACAAATCAAACTAACTTTTAGGAAAAGTAAAGCTTCTTTTAACATCTGAAAAGAGTAAGGTTGCAGGTGGTAGTTGTGTAATATCTTTTCATAACGAACTGCTGTTATAAAACTTAAAAATATTAATGTCAAATTGTGTTTTGAGGTTGAAGTAAAAAGTAAATTGTAATTGAAGTTAAAAATTATGTTTTAATACAATTCGAAACACTAGGTGGTTATAAAATTTTTCAGAGATGAATTTAAACATAAGTAACGTTGGGAAGTTTGTCTGGAAGTCTCAATCAGTTCCAGGTTATGGGGTATGATTTATCAACACATTCTAGTATTTTAAATACCATCTAGCTAAAGTCATTAAGGTATTTAATGTGGAAAACTTCTATCAAATTATATTACAGTTCCAACAAGTTCGAAATAAATGGGCTAATTGGCTTATGATCCGTGATGTCAAAAGAAGACGAATGAGCGCTGAAAACTTTTTGGAAAGAACCAGAATTAATGCTATGAGGAGAAATGATGTGCTGCCAGTGGAAATTAGAGAGCTAGCTGATAAAGATATTAATAAGTTTGAGATGAACGCTATTCCTTTGAGGATTAATAACAGATGTGTTATTACATCCAGGTTAGTATCAACAGCTCATTTTTAACTTTCTAATTAGCTTTGAATTGGGACACAAACTCACGGGACATAGAAAAGCATTGCCGTTTATTAGTGTTTTACGAAATAGTTGCCCCCTAGTTCCTGATTGTCATTTTGGACTATTTATTTTGCTACACAAATTAATACATCATATATTTCAGGCCTCGGGGCATTGTGCCAGAATGGCGTATGAGTCGTATTGTTTGGCGCCACTTAGCAGACTACAACAAACTGTCAGGAGTCCAGCGAGCTATGTGGGGATAATATTGTTTTTTTGAATATAGGAATAGACCATAGATTAAAGATATTTATACATCAATAGATTTGTGTTTAAATTGTTCCTCATTTTGGTATCAGTGTATTAGTTTTATTTATTTATATTAGTACCTATATTTTATTACCATTATTTCTATGTCATGTTAAAAAACAATGTAAGTGGAAAATTTTATTCCCACCACGGTCAGATGGATTTTAAAATCATTGTTACTATCAGATGAGGTAACAAAATCTGATATTTCAATCACAAATTTTATACTGATTTTTATTATCAATTTGTTTGGACAGTCCCTAAATTTAAAATCCAACCATAACAGGCCACAAACTTTTAATGATTTTGAATGGTAATTTCTTTAAGATACTATTACACAATAATGAAGAAATAAAAAACAAGTTTCAGTTATTTAACTTTTTTTTATAAAGTTTTATTTCCTTACAACTAAATAAGCTTCATGAAGCTTAACAATGGAATACCACAGTGTTAAGGTAAAGCTTTTTAGTCAAACAGACCTGAAACAAAAGAAAAACCATCATTAATGTTTTGTTCAGTTGCAATGTATCTTACTGGTATTTATAAAAACTTTCTCAGTAATATATTTTGTCAATCATTTTTAAATCTGAAGCTAATACATGCTAAACATCATTGAAAACTTAGCATGAAACATTGCAACCTGCATTGTAATTTATTAAGTAGCCTTTTTATAACTTTACCATAATCAGAATAAATCTTTCTGTTAAGCATTTGTATGAAAAGTAATATTTACTGATCATTACCATGAGGTAACTTTTGTTAATTCAACAAGTGAAACAATTACATTTTTTTATTAGTAAATTGTTGTTTCATATCTCTCTAATAGTATATATGCGAAAGTTTAGATGGATGGATGGATGTTTGTTAGATTTTGTAACCTAAACTGCTGAACCTAAATTTGGCATAGGTGTAGGGGATAGTCCGGAAGAACACATAGGCTATTTGCTTTTGTCTTTTTTATTCCACTCAACCGGAGTCGCAGGCGAAAGATAGTAATTTATACAGTATAATGTGGGCTATCTGAATATATGTTTATACTGTGAATTTAACTAGACATATTAAACAATTTTCATGCTAAGTGTAAAAACAACAAGATGAATACAAACTAAGTATAGAATGAAGAAATATTAAACTCACCGAAGCCCATGTCATCATCAGACTCTTCAGGTTCTTCCTCCTTCTTTTCTTCCTTGGCGGGTTCCGAGGAAGGCGCGGCTGCGGACGCTGCGGTTGGAGCGCCGCCTGGCGCGGGTGCGGCTCCCACACCTGAGCCGATGTTCGTGATCAGGTCACGTACATTCACACCCTCTAAAGCCTTGGCGAACAATCCCGGCCAATAGGGCTCAACATCCACGCCGGCAGCCTTCAGTATGGTGGAGATCTTCTCACCCTATAAGAGAAACATGTTAGCGTGAAAAATTAACCCTAATCACTGAAATAAAGGAACATCCACTCAGAAATTAAACTAACCTTAAATTTAAAGCTACGTTATGGAAAAACAATTGCTTAATTTAGTGGATTTTACTGGATATAAACTTGGACTAGAACCTATCCATAATTTGCAATTACGATATTGTACTTACAGTTACAGCAACATCATCATCTACTAGGATGAGAGCGGAGTAAACGCAAGCTAATTCAGCCTTTGATGCCATTTTTTTATTTATTTAGTGCAAGTCGCCTAGTGGCCTTAGCTCGGAGAGAACAAGCACGTTGGATTTCTTGATTTTGAAGAGAAATAGAAAGAGCGACACCTGTCAACCTGACATTTCATGTGTTTATGTTGGTGTTGCAATATACAAAACTTGAAAATCAAAGAGCAAATCAAATGAAATAGTTAAAGAGTAAATATTTCTTTAAATGGAACAAATGTTTATAATGAATTGCGAATACCTATGAATAAAAGTCATAATTGAACGTATATAAGACATAAACTTTTTAATTAAAACCGCAACTACGTAAAATATAACACATACATAGTAAGTACATTTAAAAGTTGAAAACTTTTGCATAGAAAGAAAGTAAAGTGTTAGTTTGCTTCAATCGTCAGTTCAAGCTATTTTAGGTAAAAACAGTAAAGATAATTTTATAGCATGTTTTGTATTATTTATCTCTTACTTATCAATGTTATCACATACAAGAAACATCAATTAAAATGACAAAAATCGAATGTATCTGTTTTTATTGAAATTATAATAAATTAAAAATAAAGTGGTATAACTGAGAAGATAAATTTATTCTAAGATTAACAATTACAATAAACTTTAAAATAATAATTATTAACAGATAATTACAAATAAATTAGGTCCTTTGAAGATTTTAAGTACAATATACATGAAATTGCAATTGACTATAATTAAATCTAAATAAATACAACGACAATTTATTACAGAACATTAAAAGCTTATACAGTGAAAGAAAATTAAGGATTATATATGGGATCACAATTTTTGGTTTTTCTTCAGTTTGAGATCAAATAAATGAAAGAAGTCAAATTCTAAGTCTAAAAAATTAGCTCCTTATGACTTGACTGACATTTTAGTAATATGTAATTATAAATCCCATGAAAACAAATGATGTTTTACTAACATGTCTCTGACACCTTCTTTTAAAGGTTGGTTTTGTGTATCTTTCTTCAATGGCAGTTCCCATTCAGGGTTCAGATTAAATCCAAATTGTGAAAGTATTCTTAGTTCACATTTTATTTGAACCCATCCTGGTGAATTTATAAAAGACCAAGGATGATACCATTTTTGGACAACATCTACACAAGAGCATAAAACTTCAAGCCATAAGTGCAAGGCTTCTTCATTTAATCCCATGCAAATTAGAGTCCTTAGTTTAACATCCATTTGAGCATGAGCATTATCATGAGACAAATTAATAGCCTGGACACATCTATACAATAACTCCTCTGGTGTTAAAACCTTTCCTTCTTCATCCAGTCGATATGTTTTGCACAAAACTAAGCGACTGTAAACTGAATTGAAATCTTTTTCAACCTCTCTAGAAGAAGCCTCTTCAATAAATAACCATGGGTGACAGGGTCCATCTAAGAAACTTGGTTTTTTAATCCCATGTAATAAAACTCGTTTGAAAGCAGGTGCCAAAACTCCTCTTACCAAATGTGCAGCCTTTTCTGTTATGGAGTCATCACCAGCTCTGCTGTATTTAACACCCTTTTCATCTAAAAATGTCACAAATCTAGCTGGAAACCATCCCCTTAGGCCATTGAGCTCTCCAATCCAGCAGTGCTCATCTCTAGAACTGATTACCTCAATTACATCATTCTTCCTAAAGCCTAACTCATCACCATCCCTTCTTTCAAAGTCCAACAATGCCTTGGCCCGTCTTCTCTTACTTCTTGATACATTTACGTACCTTTCTCGATCTGCAGCATGGCTTTGCATTGTATAGTCTGCTGTTAATTGAACTTCAGATTGCAGTTGTGGTTCTAGAGTTAAAAAATGACGAGCCACCTGTAAAATGGCTTCTCTAAGGTCTACAAGGATTTCAGTCTGCTTTACATTTTTAGATACAGCATCTTCATTGTTACTATCATCACCAAATAATATAGTTTGTATTACTGATTTGCTTTTTTTTATCTGTCTTCTTTGAAGATGCTGTTTTGGCAAGTTAGGAACTGCACTAGGGTTACCAACTAAAGCACCCTGGTCAGCCATAAGATATGCCAAATGTCTTCTTCTATGTGTTTCAATTAATGCAGAGCTTAATGTGTCACCACAAACCTCTTCAATTGTCTTTATAAGTAAATTTACATCATCTATTTCACCAGGTATATCAGATAATGCATTAAATATTTGGGCAGAGTTTGAAATCTCTGTAAATCTGTTTTCCTTTATTTTTAGCATGGCAAGAGTTACTTTAAAAAGTACTATAGATCCTTCCAAAAAGAAGAGGTCCCATATTCTTAGTAAAATCTTCATATGAACTACATTAGCATATAAGGTTAAAAACCAGTGCATAGTTATAAGAGAAAGCTCTATATCATGTGCATTGAGGACTTGATCTATGCCAGGTAGATATGTGGAAATTAAGCTTCTCAGCACCTTTTGATCCGCTTGTATGCCAATTAATGTAGATGAGTAGTATGATGCAGGTAACAGATCTTCCACAGTAGTACACATTATCCAAAATGCCTCTTCTTCCTCCATCAACAGTAAGAGAGATGCTGCAATCATTCCCGTCCCTTGACAATAACCAATGTCAGGATAGAGCCAGGCTAATGCCCTGAGAATACGACGAAGTCTAGGCACTCCAGTACTAGTTGGATGTGAAAAGCACACATTGTTAGGCAAAATTTGGACCAAATCTTTTTCAATTTGCTTACTAGTAACTAATCCGTCATCACTAGATGCTCTTACTATTTCATGATATGTAATTTCTGTAGTTGCCCTTTTTTTATTTGCACCACATAGGTGCATCCATACTTGTGGGCGTAACATATGGGGGACGCCATCCTTTACCATTTGTTGTAATTTTTCAGATTTCGAAAATTTACCTTCACTCTCGGAAAAACTTATTTCCTTACTATAGAACTCCCACTGGAGACGATGATGATCTTCCTCTTGAATAGCAGTTGACGTTAATTTGTCTGATATTTCCGATCCCTCTTCATCGTCAACACAAAAACCAAACTCATCAAATCGATAATCCGGAAGACCACCTTGACCTTCAGACTCGGGTTGTGCTAGTTTTGCCATTATATCTTGAGGTACCATACTTTGTGTAAGGGAGGAAAACGGTCCGCCTGGCGCTGGAAGCAGTTCTTCAGCAAGATTTAATCCACGTATACTATCAATAACATCTTCTGGGTCGTCATCGGCTAGTGATGCACTTATTTTACGTTCGTGATCTTCGCGGCCAACGTAGCCTACGTGGTCTCTTGAACTAAACAAAGATTTAGCTAAATTCATTTTTCTTTGTTGTACTTTAAACGTATCACACGACTACTCATGCAGATGATGTCCTTACAATAATATAATATTAAAAATTATTAACAATGTTGTATTGTACTTTTGCAATTTGCACTATTGTCACAAATTGTCACTTTCTCTTTCTCCTCTTCGTAGCAATTTTGGTAGATTTTTATTTTTTACAGTTTTGTACAGTTTTCTACCGAAAATTCGTACTGCCATATCCTTTCAAAACCTATCTACCAATAAGTATCCATAAATCCCGAACATTTTAATAGAGTTTATTTATTTTAATTTAAGATTTTAAAGGAATGATAAGCGATTATTTTTTCCTTCTTCTTTTTATACCTTGTTTTTGCACGATCGACCTTCATCAGCTTTTTTTTTGGTAGAATCTAGATCGTACATGTTCTTTGATAATATTTTTAATCTGCTTTAAAATCGTCCCGAAAAAGAATTGTCAAAAATTGTAAAAAGAAAACATTCAATTTCAATAGTTTTATTCAGTTTTATTTTATTGTTATTACGATTGTAATTATGCATGGATTTTGTGTTATGTAAAATATGAATAAGTGGGATATGTTGTTTTGGATTTTGTAACTACAGGTCCCACAATATTGAAGCGACCTTACGTGGTTACTATTTTTCACGATGTTTTAAAGGACAAACTCATCATTATAGGTGAGTATTGTTTTTTTAATATATCAAAATGTGTTATATAACTTCTAACGTCTATTATCATTCTTGTACTATGAGTTCATCTAATTCATTGAAACAACTAACAATATTTTATGTTCTATATCAGTGACATAAGAATAGACGAGTCCTAAGACTTAAGACTTTATAGACCGTTAGTTTACTCCTAAGCATACTGGTTACCATGTAGGTAGACGCACACAATACCGATTTTGTTTTATTTGATTTTGGTTAAAGAGTCTTACAAGACTACAATACAGTATGCAGATGCTCTAAGTATGATGAAAAAGTTGTTTTAGGTATGCTCTAGTAAATGTTATTCATGGCAGGAAGCAACATTTAATTTATCAGGTATCAAACTTCACAAATTTTAAATAAAGCATTAAAAAATATATCCTGTATTCTATACTTGTAAGAAATACCTATATTTACATGTTAAATTATGATAAATGAACAAATTACACTTTTATCAATTCCAAGTTATTAAATTTATATTGAAGAAGAAATATGTAAAAATGTGTGCAAAGTATAATTAAACAATTTATTCAAACATAGGATGGCAGTTAAAAAATGTTGTATTGAAAACTGTCAGTCATGCTCAACAAGAAAGGAAGATATCGGGGTAACATATCACAAGTACCCCAAAGATGAAAGATTGTGTGACACATGGATAACAATTACACGAAACAAACAATTTAATATAACAACACCATCATATGTGTGCTCACGACACTTTTGTAAACGAGATTTTCAAATTTACAAGGACTGTAAATATGTTTTAAAGTCAGGTACATTCAATATCAGTAGTAGTTTGTGACACAGACAATTTCATTTTACATTACATAAGGCCTTGACTACACATTTTTTTTGCATTTCGTAGTTAATGCATGGTAGTTTATAATTGCATTAACAACATATTTCTACAGTGTTTTTTGGATTTCAGATGCTGTACCTTCAATATTTCCATGGAATAAAAAAGCATCAAACATGAATTCAAATGACATAACTTCTGATGCTGTTAGTGCAGGTAATGCAACACAGCAAATTGATTTTGACACAGAAAATCTGGAAGCTATAAAGAAATTTATAGAGGATCAAGCGAAGGAGACAGAGATCCAAAAATGTGATGAAATGGTTGCAGCATCAGATAAGAAGATAGATATGGAGGAAAAGGAAAAATTAAAAGATGAATTAACAAGTGAAATGCAAGAGGAACCATTAACAGTGGCCACAAGTGTAATGGACCTTATATTAAGCCAATCAGAGGCGAGGATGTTAACTAAAAAGGAAGAAAAATGTTTTGATAAAGAATGTCTTAGTCCAGAAGAAAAGGGTATGTTGTAAAATGGATAAGTCTGATTTTTTTAACAAATTTACACATAGCTTTATTGTAGTAAGCTTATAGTAGTAAGTTGTTTTGCATGTTGCATGTTTATAGAAATAATTATTGAATTAAATATCACTAATAGTTTAGCTAAATTCTCTAGATTTACTCAGAAGTAGTAAATAAACCAATGTTTATAAAACATGCTACAAGTTTATTCTTTGCGATAAATTTATATTTAATGAAGATCTTTTTCCAGGTAATAATATGGCTTTGTCTGTTGGTTCTAAAGTTGAGGCAAAAGATTTTGAAGAATCTTGGCATCCGGCGGAAATTATTGAAGTAGATTATGATGAAATGGAAGTGTTGGTGCACTATGAGAATTCCTCTAAAAAGTATGTTTTCACATACTTATTACAATTTTTTTAAATTTAAATAGTCAAGTATTTTTTAAATTTAAATGGTCAATGTTTTGTATAAAATTGGTCTAGAATTGATCATCAAGCTAGGATGTTTGATAGATGACCTAAATATCTTTTTATTTTTTAGACATGATGAATGGATAAGTGTTAACAGTCCTAGACTGAGACCTTTTAGTACCTCACCTATACCTACTACATCTAATTCTGAGACTGACAATGTGGAAGTCCCTATAATAAAGGAAGAAGTTAAGCAAGATGAGAAATCAAAATTAAAATTTGTTATTGGTGAAAGATGTTTAGCACGATGGAGGGATAATCGAAGATTTATTGCTACGATTAATAAAGATTTGGGCAATGGTGAGTTATCCTATGATATGACAAATCTATACTTATATTATAAAGAGGGAAGATTAGTTTTTTCGGATTTTTGTTTATATTGCAATAACTTAAAAAACTACTGGGGCTAATTAAAGTCTTTCAGCATTAAAAACTACGTTTTCGCTGAATAACATCGACAGTTTTTAAATATTTTTTTTTTATTTCATGTGGAAGATTTCCTGAACAACAGCTAGTCTACAATCAATAGAATATAGGGTATTTTTTTTTTGGCAGGCTCTTATGAAATTATCTTTGATGATGGATTCCACTGGAAGTGTACGACAAGCAGGCTTTTTAAATTGAAAGAAACAGAAAAAATTGATCCCTCATCTGAAGCATTATCATCTTCATCAATATCCTCACCCATTTCCTTTGAGTCCGGTCCTAGTACGGCGCCTACAGGATCCTTGCAAACACCAATTTTCCATACTCACCTATTTGATCCAACCCGTGATTATTTAGGTACAAAAAGTGAACGTCGTGAAAAGAAACGAAAGTTGAATATAAAAGAAATATTTAATATCGGCCAGAAGAAGAGGAAAATGCAAAGAACACCAAAGGAAACTAATGCGCCATCACCAAAAGTGATTAAACAGGAAAAACCTAAGCCAGTACAAAGGAAAATTAAACTAGAAAATAATATTGACATGAGAAATGATATACCAGGTAAAATACTAAATCCTTGTGTATTTCGATTAGTACTATGTTTGATTTTAATATTGTAACCTGTATGTAACTGTTTTAGACGCTCTGGCATCTATAATTGGTACAATCGCCAGTCCAGAGGTTGACATTAAGCCAAAAATAGAAGTTGAACCTCCAAATGTGGAGATGGATAATAAAGATGATGCAATTAATATTCCCCAGAATATAGAAACTGTTCAATCTACTTGTGTCTCAGGTGTTAAGGAAGATACGGAAGTGACAGAACCTAGAAACAGTGTTGATCCAGTAAGTTTATTAGTTACTTTGTATGTGACACTGTATTATATAGTTTATTATATTAACAATTTAATGACGTAAATATAAATAATAAATATAATTTAAAAACATAGGTATTAGAAGAGGAAATAAAACTTCAAAATTTCGAAGTAATAGATGACAAGAAGCACGAAGAAGTAATCGATAGGATTAAAGAAGCAATCATTAAATTGGAAGATGGTATCACTAAAACAGAAAAGGTAGATTCACCTAAAGTAGAAATACCCGAAGAAGAAGATGAAGACGAAATTAAAGATGAAATAGAAGCGATTCCAGTTGAATTGACTGAGGATGGTTTACCATTACCCGAACAATCGGAAACTACTGAAAATGAAAATGAAAGTAAAAGTAAAACAAAGAAGGCTGTGTCGCATTTGAAGAGGGATAAGAAATTTAGATTGTTACAGGCGAAAGCAAAGAAGAAGATGGAGAAGGTGGAATGTGAATTAGCAGAGATGAAGCGGCAGGTGGAAGAGATGAGGAAGCAGATAGTGAGGAAGCAGGAGATGCCGGAGAGTTTCATGTTGCCCGGGGAGTGGTGCTGCAGGTGGGTCAACGGGCAGCCAGTGGGCTCAGTCAGCGAAATAGAAAGCGAAATCAAACAAGATCCAAACAGCAAACCACCTTTACCGAGACGAAGTGTTCAGGTTAGTGTACTGAAAACTTTTTTCGGTATATTTTACTGTTTGTTTTTAATACTTGTAAATTATTCTGAAGGTGGAAGATAAGCGTTTGCCTGTGGGATGGACGAAGCATATGGTACGACGAAGTTTCGGCAATTCGGCTGGGAAATGGGATGTTGTTTTGGTCAGGTACGTGTCACGTTTGATATTAAAACAACGTTGTAATAAAACAACGTATAATAAGAAATATTTAAAAATCCTTTTAGCCCTGAAAACCGCCGGTTTCATACTAAAACCGATATGCGGACGTATATCGAGAAGGAAGCAACGGAAGACCTTAAGCCTTACGAGCACGCGTTACTTGATTTCGGTATCCACTTGAAGCTGG